CATAAAGTACGATGACAACGACTGTTGCTTGTGTAGCAGACAGCCGTGTGCGTGAACGTTTATTTATTATTTACAACTGTCTCTCTGAGTTGAGTGGAGGAGGGGTTGCTTGTTTTTTAATTTTTTAATTTTTTAATTTTTTTTTTTTTGAATTAGTGATTGAGGCTGAAAACTGCTTTGGTGAAATGAGGTGTAAGTAAGGGTTGTTCGTGGGGTGAGAACCCGAAATAAAAAGGATTGTTGGTGAACTGAGAGCCAAGAAAGATTGTTTGTGAACTGAGAACCAAAAAAGGAGTGTTGGTGAACTGAGAGACAAAGAAGGAGTGTTGGTGAACGGAGAGACAAAGAAGGAGTGTTGATGAACGGAGAGACAAAGAAGGAGTGTTGGTGAACGGAGAGACAAAGAAGGAGTGTTGATGAACGGAGAGACAAGGAAGGAGTGTTGGTGAACTGAGAGACAAAGAAAAATGGTTGGTGAACTAAGAGACAAAGAAGAATGGTTGGTGAACCGACAGCCAAAGAAGAATGGTTGGTGAACTGAGAGACAAAGAAGAATGGTTGGTGAACTGAGGACGGAAAAGGAAAGGCAAATGAATTGAGAACCCAAAACGGGCTGTGAAGGAACTGTTATCGGAATTGGGTTCTTCTCCTTCGGCTCCGGTGAAGGGTTAAAAATCCTCCTGTCAAATTCCTGCCCAAGGCCACAACGGAAGAAGTGATGTCGGAAGAGGGGGGGGGGGGAGGAACACAACTCGAATGTACATGTAAATAAAGAGAGAGGGTAGTGTCTGGGGTTTGTACGCTCTGATCGAGGAGTTTGGAAAGAGGGGATTGGAGGGGGGAGGGGGTGAATTGGAGTGTCTCTAAACTAGTTATAAGATTCTACATGTTTCTAAGTGTGTGAATTGTCGATTTTGTGTTCAGTTGAAACTATTGCTATTAAAGTGAGAGTAATGCTCTAGTTGGAGCTCCAGTCTGTAGTTGTGTGTAGTTTTGTGAATAATGGAGAGTTACAATGAATGGGCTCTGTTAATTAACTGTAATTATGAAAATACGACTGTGTACCTCGGTACAGTGGTCATGTTTATAATTGATTGCTAGTCATGTTGAATGTATTATGCCCTCACATTTTGCTCTATTTCAGCTACCACCGTGGGAGTTGTCTATTAGACCTGGTCGAAGGGAAGAGGAGACAATAATGGAAAGAAAACGGCACATGTGTACTGATGGGCTGGCGATTTAAAATAGAGTCCTTATTTCAGTTCGCGAGGGGGAATGTTTGACATTGTTAACTCCTTGGAGCCGCACTACACAGATAAATATGTTAAAAAATGTAATTGTATCTAACAATTACCAAAGCCTTTATGAGGTCTCTGTTATCGGCTCGCCCGTAGTATTGTGGTTTCGGGTTGTAGCCTATATGGGACATGGAGGCAAAGAGAGGGATCTAGTTTGAACGATGGCGTTCTCGGCGATAGGCATCATGATAATTGCGAGTCCGTGTATGGCAAATCGGGCTCTCTGGTTGGGTTGTTGTTGGCGTTGAAAGAATGTGACCTTTGACGTTACTTTACTGGAGGCCTGGAAACGCAAACCCACAGTTATGAAAGAG